CCGCCTCGGGGTATGGTCATTTTTCCACCCTGACACGTGGTCCGCGGCCATTTTTCCGCCCTGACACGTGGTCTGCGGGCATTTTCCCGCCGTGCAGCGCCCGGCTGTTTTCCCACCGTGCCGTGCGGCTCCCGGCCGTTTTCCCGCCCCTGATGCGTGGTCCGCGGAGGCCAGAACGGATTAACAGTAATTACATTGAACCTTATGGGAAAATTTGCTTCGGGGTGCAACCAAATTCGGAGGGTAGAACAGATTAACTGGATTTACATTGAACCCTATGGGGAAATTTGCGTCGGGTTACAACCAAATCGGGATACGCCCAGAGTCACAGAACGGATTAAGTGTGTATCCTGAGGTACCACTGTGTGTGTGTGTGTGTGTGTGTGTGTGTGTGTATACACACACACACACACATACATACATACATATACATACAGTGGGGCAAAAAAGTATTTAGTCAGCCACCAATTGTACAAGTTCTCCCACTTAAAAAGATGAGAAAGGCCTGTAACTTTCATCATAGGTATACCTCAACTATGAGAGACAAAATGGAGAAAAAAATCCAGAAAATCACATTGTCTGATTTTTAAAGAATTTATTTGCAAATCATGGTGGAAAATAAGTTTGCAAATAAATTCTTTAAAAATCAGACAATGTGATTTTCTGGATTTTTCCCCCCATTTACATTGTCTGATTTTTAAAGAATTTATTTGCAAATCATGGTGGAAAATAAGTTTGCAAATAAATTCTTTAAAAATCAGACAATGTGATTTTCTGGATTTTTCCCCCCATTTACATTGTCTGATTTTTAAAGAATTTATTTGCAAATCATGGTGGAAAATAAGTTTGCAAATAAATTCTTTAAAAATCAGACAATGTGATTTTCTGGATTTTTCCCCCCATTTACATTGTCTGATTTTTAAAGAATTTATTTGCAAATCATGGTGGAAAATAAGTTTGCAAATAAATTCTTTAAAAATCAGACAATGTGATTTTCTGGATTTTTCCCCCCATTTACATTGTCTGATTTTTAAAGAATTTATTTGCAAATCATGGTGGAAAATAAGTTTGCAAATAAATTCTTTAAAAATCAGACAATGTGATTTTCTGGATTTTTCCCCCCATTTACATTGTCTGATTTTTAAAGAATTTATTTGCAAATCATGGTGGAAAATAAGTTTGCAAATAAATTCTTTAAAAATCAGACAATGTGATTTTCTGGATTTTTCCCCCCATTTACATTGTCTGATTTTTAAAGAATTTATTTGCAAATCATGGTGGAAAATAAGTTTGCAAATAAATTCTTTAAAAATCAGACAATGTGATTTTCTGGATTTTTCCCCCCATTTACATTGTCTGATTTTTAAAGAATTTATTTGCAAATCATGGTGGAAAATAAGTTTGCAAATAAATTCTTTAAAAATCAGACAATGTGATTTTCTGGATTTTTCCCCCCATTTTGTCTCTCATAGTTGAGGTATACCTATGATGAAAATTACAGGCCTCTCTCATCTTTTTAAGTGGGAGAACCTGCACAATTGGTGGCTGACTAAATACTTTTTTGCCCCACTGTATAGAGAGAGAGAGAGAGCCAGTTTGGTGTAGTGGTTAAGGCACCAGGCTAGAAACTGGGAGACCATGAGTTCTAGTCCCACCCAGGCACAAAGCCAGCGTCTCTCAGCCCTAGGAAATAGGCAGTGGCAAACCACTTCTGAAATCTTGCCAAGACATGCTTTTATATTGCTATTATTTGGATCTACTTGCTTTTCTTTTTCATCTTTTTCAGGTTTTTAAAATTGTTATCTCCCATGAATGTTGTAAGTGCAAAGTCAGGATGTTAATTGCAATAATAAATAATTCCTGACACTCTTGTCCTCCTAGGGAGGAGGATATGTTGGATATGGCACCGCTGCTTCAGGAGAACTCTCGACTGGGCTGCCAAATTATCCTTAGCAAAGAACTGGAAGGAGCAGAGTTCACCCTTCCCAAGATCACCAGGAACTTTTATGTGGATGGGCATGTCCCCAAACCTCATTGAGAGCCACAGACTCCATTGCTGGATCTGTCCCCATTGTTAAGGTGATAAAGGCTTCAGAGAGCACAGCATGGTTGTGGCCAAAGCTGGAAACATTTAAAGAAAAGAAAGAGGAGATGGCTCGATGAGTAAGAAGTTGCTGCTATGGAAGGAACTGAATGAAATAAGGAGTAAGGTTCAAGCATTTGGCAACTATCTCACCTGCCTGTGCCTTCTTCAGAAAGCCAAATCTGGGTTAAGCATAGCCTCATCCATGGCACAAAGGGGTGCTGGTAGAAGGATATTTCCATACTTAATAGTTTTTCCCCCACATCCTGGAGAAAACCAAAACATTTCATGGAGAGGCAAGATGTTCCTATGCAGTAGCCATTGTCTTTTAGCGGAGAAATATAAAGTTTTATGTCGTGTTAATTGTGTGAAGAAGGAAAAAAATGTAATTCCCATAAGCACTTTCTTTGTACGCTTTCCAGCTTGTTCTCTCTTGTTCTTCAGGCACTGTTTTGATCTACATTGGATCTTCCTTATCTGTTGTCTGCATTTAACTGTAGAACAGTATATTGAATCTTTGGTCATCTCTATAACCAAAAAACCAAGGAATTGGCTTCTTCCAGTAAAGAAAAAGCAGGCTGTTGCTAATGTTTTTGACTTCATTCCCCATACACATGAACAAATATGTTTGGAATGATATGTGTATGTAAGGCGGGGACTGTGCAGCACTTCAGATTCAGACGCAGGTACTTTGAAGAGTTCAGGAGCACAACCGTAGCACCTGTCTGCAATACTTTTAAGTGGTTGCCTTTTTTTTCCTGGAATTGCACAGCCACTTAGAAGTGTTATAGACAAGAGTTCTAAAGCAGATTTTTGGAGGCTTTTCCAATACCTAAGTTCAAAAGTGTCATTGTTATTTCTATCCTGCTTCTTCAAAGTCCAACTTTCACTTCCATAGAATGTCACAAGGAATACCTTTTCCTGCACTATTCAGAACTTTGTAGGTATAGACATAGCATGGCATCTGAATATCTTTTCCAAAGCCTTCACGGCTGTTCTGCAAAATGTTAATCTGCAGCTTGTTCCTTTACTGTTGATGGTTGATCCTAAAAGGTAGAAGTTATTTACCACTTCACTATGGCTGGCTGTTGTACCTGTTGCCATTAGTTTGTTGTTCTTTATATTTAATTTTAGTACCATTAATTGACTGTGCTCCTTGACTTTTTTTATTAAGGCTTGTGGATCCTTTGCATTTTTGGCTATCAGAGTAGTGTCATCAG